CAGCATATTCCACTGCTTAATGGCTCTTACCATTAAAAAGTTCTGCCTAATGTTGAGATGCAAATTTAATTAATTTCTTCAGTCCTAATCTCCAGAACAGCAGAAAACAAGCTTGCCCTTTCCTCACCATGACATCCTGTTGAATATTTAAACATGGCTATCATATCTCCTCTCACCCTTCTTTTCTCCAAGCTAAACTGACCCAGCTCCCTCAGCAGTTCCTCATAGAGCTTGACTCCCAAACCTTTGATCATTTTGGTCATCCTTCTCTGGATGTGTTGTCACTTCTTGAATTGAACCATGTTGGGGGCAATTGGCATGATTTACAAAGTGATTTATGTGGTGCAGGGCCGTAGCCAGAAAAAAAATCCGGGGAGGGTTGACAATTTCGGCAAGGGGGGGGGTTTGAAAATTTCGGGGGGGGGGGGGTGTTGAAACCTGCCTCCTAGCTCACGCTGAAGCAAAGAGCACAGCAGGGGCAGAGCAGCCTTCAATAGCCTGCAGCTCCGCCCCTGTCAACCACCTCCACCAAGTCTGGCCTCCTTAATGAGAGCATTCAACACACACACACCCAACTTGGTTGCTTCACTACATCGGCTATTGCTGCAAGTAATGACAGTATGAATAAATTGACAATATTTGCTTGAGATAGTGCTTACAGTTCTGGAGGGACTCTTAATTTTTTGCATCTCATAGACTTAGCATGGGGATTTGGTTAACGTTAAAATTCATGAGTAAACCAGGTTTTTTAAAAAAATCTGAAACGTTTCGGGGGGGGGTTGAACCCCTAAAACCACCCCCTCGCTACAGGCCTGGTGTGGTGGCATTGGGAGATGTAGGTATTAGAGTTGTGCACTGATCCAATTCCCTTCATTATATCTGTTCTTTCGTTACTTTTGTTACTTTCAGGAGCACATAACAGGAACCCCCCTCCCAATACAAAAATAACTTCAACACGAAAGCAAGTGGGAGCTGATCCTGACTCCTCGCCTGCTTTTTGTGAGCAGCCTCCTTGCCTTGGAAAGAGTGTGTGTGTGGTGTGCAGGCCCAGAAAGAGTGCATGCCTGCCTGCAGCCGAGTGCCTCCTCTGGAGTAAGAGATCTTGCCTCCTTGCCTTGGAAAGTGTGTGCAACGTGCAGGCCTAGAAAGCATGTGTGCCTGCCTGCAGCCAAGCTCTCCTCTAGAGTAAGAAACAGGTAAGAAGTCTCCTTAAAGCACACGCCTGCCTGCAGCTGAGAGCCTCTCCTCTAGAGTAGAGCTTAAATGTCTAAAATGACAGCGAGGGGGGCCTTTGAAGTCCCCCCACCCATAATGGGCCAATAGAAAACTGATCTTTCAGCACCCCAGAGTGAAAACAGATATATGCCCTCCTGATTTTGGGAGGCACCCAAAAAATAGATCAGGGCCCTCACTGAAAGCCGGGACATCAAACTGTCAAGGTTTACCCAGAGTACACAAACCTAGTAGCTATAGAAAACAGCTCCTGATTCTTTATCGCAGCCAGTGTTTGTGTCGCTCCTCCCCTCCCCGATGCGTGTATTTTGGCCATTCACATATTTTAAAGTATATATTGCATTGCATGAACTGCAAAAACACTTTCCAAAAGTCAAAATGAGTCAGAGACTTTATATGAGGCATGTTTCTTCTCATAACAAATCATGGGAAGTGCAAAATAGTTCATTTCACCAAGTCCATCAAATCAATTGAAATTGTTTTCTATCCCTACTGTTTATGCACCACGGGGAATGGTAGAGTTATCATACCACTTTCACTGGCTGGAAGTCTGTTTCCGGCCACTAAGTCTGGCTCCTTTATCACTCAATATTACTCAGTCTGGTGATTTTTCTTTCCATTTTGTGCCTTTTGCACTTACTTGTACAATGGCTTAAATATTTATTTTTTCTAAATATTTTCCTTCTGCTTGCCAGCTAGACTACACTGTTTCTTCCCTCAATGTTTTCATTTTCTGTCATGTTTCCGAGTTCATTAAACAATTCTTGTCTTAATTATTCATTGACTTAAGTCTCTTTTTTCTGCCCTGCCTATGTGCTCCTATTTTATGTATTTGTTCCAACTGCCTCTTCTCAGCTTTCTATGATCTTCTCATTAATTCTTGACTTACTCCAGCTTCTTCCGATGCTTTTCCATTTGTCATTGTGGCACCTTATTATTGAAATTCCCTTTCCTCTGATAGCAATGTTGCTTTATCACTGTTGATACTTATCAAAACTTAAATCTGTTATTTCTCAACATTTTTACTTCACTTATCTTGCTACTCCTTGGCACAGCATTTCAATTTTTTTTGTTTCATTCCGTTTCCATCCTTTTCTCATATACCCCATGTTTACAGGGTGAAAGTAGGCACGGATCAGATCATTGAAAAAGGGATTCCTGCCCTTTTAGGATTGATGGATTAAAAGGTGTCTGCCATTTGTCAGGTAATCTGTATCTCTCTCTCATCACCTTCTGGTTGCCTGAGCTTTCAATTCGTAACTAATGATGTAGTCAATAGAGACATACTAAGCTCCAGCATTCCAATTAAGCCCTCTTTAAGTTTCAGTATCTCACATTTTATAAAAGGGTATTGTTATTGTTTTTTGTCTTCAAGTCATTTCAGACTATTGACAACCCTATCACAAGGTTTTCTTGCAAGATTTGTTCAGAAGGGTCTGCCCTTGATCTGCTGACTAAGAAAGTGTGATTTGCCCCATGTCATTCAGTGTGTTTCCATGGCTGATGGGATCTGAATCATGGTCTCCAATCATATTCCATATTCCAACCACATAGATCCAGCTTAACGAAAAAGGTGCCAGTCATTTTGAAGGTCTGCATACTAGACAAAGCTTATTTCAAATGTGTGTATCTCCTGGAAAATGCCAAGGTGTTCTGAACCAAGTTGGCGAGTTGTCACATTTTTATTATTATTCTGTCTGGATAATGGTCTTGATGCTGCTTATTGTCATGGCAACTCAACAATGATGGGATATGCAAAGATCTTTGATTAAAGAAACAAACTTCAACCCATTTTCTACAACTCCTCCCAATGAAAATTTCCTTCTTAGATTTCAGATTCCAGGTAACAGGAAAGAATCCAAATTCTAACAGGACCAATTCAGTTATGCATGGAAAATTAAAAGCCTTAGATTACAAGTCAGGTTATGGTTCAACGGAAATAGACTTTATTTCATACCCAAATGTATTTGAAATATTTTGTATAAAATTCTCTTCAGGCGATGTGTATAACGCATATGTGATATATAAATGAATTTCATCTCCAAGCTAATTCATAATGTAAATAGAGGTATTTCAATGTGTGTGCGTGTGAAATCTAAAACACATCTGTTTCCAAGAATTTTAGATAAGGGATACTGTCATGCCCTTTGAAGACCCTCACCATTTACCCCTAGTTAAGCCCTTTTTAATTAGAGAGATTAATATTTTATGTACAGTTTCAGGGAGGTCAGTTGAGACAGCCTCTTTGCATTTGAAGCCTCCATCTCCCTGCCTCTTTAAGAATCTCCTCAGGGGCAGAGCCTCAGGCAAAGCACTTCTGGTTCTTGGAAGAGTCCACGTTTTCGTGACTGGAAGGTATAGAGAGAGGAAGACCGGAAGGTCTATGAAATAGCATGTCCAGTCAGAGCTGTATTCAAGTCCAGTCAGAGTTAAATACTGAGACCCTCTTAGAGACCATTGAACACCATACAAGAAAGAGACAATAAGAAATAAAAATTCAAGAGCCTCAGTTCAGTCAGAACCGTCTCTATCTCCCAAAAACATTACATCTCCTCATAAAGACTTTGTAGTGAGACTCAGGAGGAGAAAAATTCTTGTCAGCTAATAAATTCTTGTTTGATTCAGCTATATAGTCTCCGTTCTGTTCCCTGCATAGCCTTCCAAGTAGTTAAGATTGCATGGGAGCAGAACAGATACTCAACCTGTAAATATCCGTTAATGCTCACTTGAGTGTATCTAGTAGGGATGTGTTGGATACTGTGTTGAATATCTTCTAATGCAGACAATTAGATTAGCAACCTTGGAGATAATTTCCTGCTCATGAATAGATTCAACACCAACCCTTTTATGAAAAGGTGTTCTACCTTTCCTGTTCAGTTGCAAAGTCAACTGAATGTTACATAAGTCAACTGAATGTTGGACTTCAACTCCCACAATTCCTAGTAGCTTACTGGCTGAGCTGCTATAACTTTTTCAGGCTGTATGTATTTATTTATTTGCAGTATTTATATACCACCTTTCTCACCCCTGGAGGGACACAATGTATGACCATGTTCCAGTAGCATTCTTTCCTAACGTTTCTTCTGAATATGTGGCTGGCATCTTCAGAGGGTGTGTTAGTAGTGAAGCAAATGGAGTGTATATATACCTACTGATTGTTAGGAATTGTGGGAGTTGAAGTCCAAAACACCTGGAGGACCGAAGTTTGCCCATGCCTGATCTAGCCTATAACACTCAAAACAGCTCTGCCATGGTGGCAACAAAAATAAACAAACCCTTTGCTTCCATTCCTACACTGCTATGGAATACTCAGGTCTCTGAAAACAGTTGGTTCACTTGCACAGCTGAGTTGTCAACACAGTTACACTAGATCCTGTTTCAACAAGAATTTAATTGGGGGAGATGTGTGGAGTATGAGTATAACAAGGAACGTTATTACTGTGCAAATAATTAGGAAAGAAAACCATAATTATAGTTCAGTGGTTTTGACCTGGAAACTGTGATGGGCTGATTGAGATGTAGGATTTACGCCTAACAGGATTACAAGTATAATGAAATGAATTACTCTTGTAGATCAAAGTATTATGAAATGTAATGAGAGAAAATGGCACCAGACTTTGAACATCCATACATGCCTCGGCAGCCTACTCACACACAGCTACACTACAGTTCCTATGGATTCTGGTATTTACACTCCAAAAATGCATCTCTGGGCCTATATTGGACTAAGAATCAACTAGTTACAAACCATTAAAACACATTCAAAGTTCAAAACCATAGCACCCTTCTTGCCCAGCATTTATTTACTTATTTATTAGACTTATATCACACCTTTCTCCTGAAAACAGGAATCACAATAACATTGAATACAAAAATACAATTAAAATGCAAAATAAAAGCAATAATTAAAATACATTTATAATAAAAACACAGTTTTCAAAACTCATTAGTAACGATGTGCTGGCCATTGTGAAACACAACAAGACAAATCTGATGTCGCTCAGATTTTTTCCCACTGCATCTCTCCAAACTACTGTTGGTGGATCGCTTTAGGACTTAAGGCTGGAATTACACTGACCCATCAAAATATTTTCTGCTGCTAATGTTAACAACATCTTCATACATGCACAGCAAACCTACACCTCTCTTTTGCTTTTCCCCCACACTTGCATGCCAGCTCACACCCTCCAACAGTCCCAATTAATCTTGTGTCATCCCAATTTTTCAGCTGCTTTTACTTTGTCCTAGTTTCTCTCTCCTCCTCTTCCTCATTTCTCCCTTTATCCTTGGTTTACTTTCATAGAATCATAGGGTTGGAAGAGACCTCATGGGGCATCCAGTCCAACCCCCTGCCAAGAAGCAAGAAAATTGCATTCAGAGCATCCCTGACAAATGGCCATCCAGCCTCTGTTTAAAAGCTTCCAAAGAGGGAGCCTCCACCATACTCTGAGGCAGAGAGTTCCACTGCTGAACAGCTCTCACAGCTTAATTGCAAACTTAATTCAAAATGCAAACGTAATTGCACTCAGTTGCAGGAGAAGGGAGGTAAACGCAAAATTCTGCCTTTCCTGTAGGCTCAGCCAAAGCAAAAGACTGCAGCTTCTCCTAGCTTCTTGCATTTCCTTCCTTATTAAAAACTTTTGACATCTGACTCATATTCTGATGATTCCTGGCCACACATATTCCAGTTTTTATCAGTGAACTGTTGGAGGGTATCCCAGTTACCACTAAAAAGTGACTATTATCTAACACTTAGATTTTAAGAGCCGAGTATGTGGTTTCTCCAGCTGTAGTCTTGCTACGCAGAAATTGGTGGGTAGCTGTAGGCCTTAAGGCTAGAAGTAGGGACAAGATCAGGGGATGGAGAGCCACAAATAAGGTTTTGTGGTCATGAGTTCCAGGTAGTCCCAGATTACCTGGGTGAATCTCACTGTTTTAAATACTATATCATATCTTTGACATAACTGTCAACATTGAATACCAGTGCAAATGCAATTTGAACTAAATTAAAATAAATTAAGGTCCACAGGTCAGTCCCTCAGTCACTCAGCCATCCTTTATATCAATCCGAAAAGAAAGCATTCAGAAACATCTAACAATAACAGCTGTTGCATTTTCCTTTTGAAGTGTGTATCAGGCTAACACATATTTTTGATGGAGTACAGTGTATGCCCAGCACCTCATGTGCGTTGAACTATCCTCCCTCTATACTTATCTACTTAGCATCTGAATTACATGAGGAGGGGGAATCAGCTCAGGGCAATTTCCCCTGACAGTCCAAATTCAACACAACCTTCCAAGAACAAATGGCAATTCCATCCATGTCACCACTCTCAGTCTTCTTATAGAGTCTACACACAGGACTATACTTGGTGTTGGGGTGCTGAACTCTTCAAATATCCAGCCATGGATGATCTTATCTCCCTACTCTACCATTTCATGGTCTTATAGTCACTTGTATAAAATGGTTGAATACACTACGGGCATGCCACTTCCAGTGTGTGCTGTTCTGAAAAATGCAATGCACATTCCCAGAAGGTTCATTTTGCAAAGATGATGTTTCTTTTGGAAGGGAACTGGAGCTCCTATGTTTTCTTGGCCGCAGGCGCACTGCCCACCGTCTTCTTGAGAGTAGTACTTGAGCTTGATTGTGGCTTGGCTTTAGGGACATTTGGCCTCTTCTGCTTCTGAGAGTTGGCATGAAGGGATTTCAGTCCGAGCATCTCACAGTATTTGTTACACTGGTGAAGGGCCTTAAACTGGTCGATGAATGAGATGGAGCAATTGCCTTTGAAACCTTTGTACCTGCAGAAGAACAAAAGAGAGAAAAGGAAGAAAGAGGATTATAACATTCAAATGAAAAGTGTTTTTATTTTGCAAAACCTACAACACATTAAGCCCCCAGAAATAGGAAGAGGAAAATAGCAGTGCTTTTATTGGCTCCTTATCAATAACTTATCCAGCAAAATTAGTTACCATTATGAAAATTGTCAAGTCAATGTCCCACTTCAATAAAATGTTGATTAGGGAAAGGCTCAGAAAGATCAGGGTTACAGAGTTCAGAAAGGTTAATTCTGGAGAGCATAGTTCCCCCAATTTGCCAGTCATCGTGTCTTTATCCATGCTGACTTGAGCAGTCTGGAATTTTAGTCCAAAAAGTAATGTTTTCAAGCTTACACTAAAGACCATCTAGTCCTCTGTGCATGACGTAAGAAGAAAAATATGGCAACTGCGCTATCAAAAATGTTAACCCAGCACTTCTGTTTCCATTAAATTCCATCTACATTCAAGTTGCTGATGATATAATAACAAGCTAACGTTAAAATGGCTAGAAAACTTGGCAAGCACTACAAGTTGGAGCAATAACAACCAATCTGTATGTATGTACAATATATACTTGAGTGTAAGCCAACGCGAATATATGCCAAAGCACCTAATTTTACCACAAAAAACTGGGAAAATGTATTGACTTGAGTATAAGCCGAGGGTGGGAAATGCAGCAGCTACTGGTAAATTCCAAAACAAAAATAGCTACCAATAAAATTACATTAATTGGGGTTAAATGTTTTGAATATCTACACAAAACTGTAATTTCAGACTGTCCAACTCTGATTACACCATTACTCTAATCTTCTTCAATGTAAATGTGCTTACGTATCCTTCTAATAATAATAATAATAATAATAATAATAATAATAATAATAATAATAATAATGGTAAAATAATAAATATAATTAAAAAACAAAAATAGAGTAAAATAAAAAATGTAATAATAATAATAATAATAATAATAATAATAATAATAATAATAATAATTCAGACTGACAAGACTTGAATATAAGCCGAGGAGACTTTCTCAGCCTAAAAAGGGGTTGCTGGTCACGCAAGTTGGAGCGACAAGAACCAAGGGATAAGTATCACTAGTAGTTAAAAATCTATTATTTTGATTCAATTGTTGCAAAACTATGCTGGTCACCAGCCACACTTCAATGGCAGTTGGAAACAAAGGTAAGGAGCGGGTGCATCCAAACTGATAATACTTTGATTATGAACTCTTCTGCTCATGAAACTTTCCTTCAGTCCACAGATTTCTATCACCAAAGTAACTTAAAAGTTCATTTGAACATTTATATACATAGTTGAAACAGCCAACAAAACGAGGCACAAAATTACTAGGGAAATACAAACACAGCAAAATGTTCTAGATGTGAATGATTTTCACTGTCTTACCCTCTGCTATGGAGATTGGAGGAAAATTTCGCATGGAGAGAGTATTCTCATATCAAAAAGTAATGTTATCATTTTGGTATCTGCTGCTACAAAGCAGTTTCCTATGAATATTTATGTTCACCTCACAATAAACGTACAACCTCACAAACATTATTGTAACAAGTACAAAGCTACCTCTGCATTTCGGAAAGGAAATGTACTGGTAAAATCACAGGTGGTCTTTTCCCAGTTAAAAGCATGCTGAAAACCCACTGAAATGGATGGCTTTCTGCCTTTCCAGGGCTCACAGCAGGACTGAAAAATGCACTTTCCTTTGCAAAGGAATCAATGCTATTAACCTACCTCCACTACCCTTAAAATGTCATGAGCAAATTTATCTTTACTATTTTTCTTTTTTCTCCTCCTGCTTCTCCCACTCTCCCTCCATTTTAGTCTGGTATATCCCCCATTCTGCAGTAAAATCAGATTAAATCAGGTACAGAAATGCGAGGGGATTTGTACAAAAGATCATCCAGCATCATAGCCAAAGGCTCCATGGAAACATTTCAGATTTTGTACGGTGTCAACAGCTGCCATGAATGCTTTTCCGAGAGCCTGCCTGTCTTGCTTTAATAAAAAATGCTTGACAGCTTTCCCCTTTTTCTCATTCAAGACCGGTCTAATTTCCTTCTGGCATTTTGAATACTCGGTGCTGCATGCCATTCTCCCAGTATTAGTGACAATACTGCTGAAAACACACATTTAAATACACATAACTCCAGTCCTAGTAGCAATAACCAATCTCTTCATATGTTAGGATTTTTAAAAAAATTAGGGCCATAAAGCCATTTCATTATACATTCCTTCCATTCTCCTTGAGAGGAGAGAGACAAAGTGGGAAGGCAGCAATATTAAATGCTCAGCTTTCTGAGCATCAGTAATCGCACATCTCATGAAAGGCCACCAAGAAACATCCATACTTCAGACTGAGGTGGAACAAGTATTTCCACCTTGGTCTTGTAAGTGGCTCTTAACCGATCACACAAATGCTAATGTGTTTTCAAGCATACCTTTGGGGTAATGCATATTGTAAGCTCTGTTTTTTTTTCTTGCACTCACACACAGCTAAAGACAACACTCAACTTCCCATTGCTGTTTTGACTGCAAACCTAGAACTTCCTCTGATGTTTTCATCACATCTGCAAAAATATGGGCCCTAACTCATTTTCATGATTCAAATATTTATCCATTCCTTTTTGTCCTAAAAAAGATCCTATAATTTTGCTCAGAAAAAGAATGGAAAAAGATGATACACACACACACAAAATAAAACTTGGGTTTTGGTGGTCCATTTGTTTTGTTTTTTAACAGCTACTTCTGCGCTGCTTCCAAGAGACCTTGGCTTCCAAACAGTTTTCTTAGCTGGTTTATACAGTTCTCCCTCGACATTTGCATAAATTTGCATAGATTTGATTAAAAATATTTTTTCTAGGGATTTTTAGGTCTCCTATAGTCAACTTCCTCCAGGCATTCTGGAGAACCTAGGGTCCATCCAGGCAGTACCTTTAACTCAGGATCTCCCATTTCAACATGGAGTGTGGCCACACGCAGCTCCCTCAAAACGTGGGAGCAATTACTACAAAGGCCAAAAAACGCAAGATTTTCAGGTGTGGGAATATCCTGGTTCTGCCCCAAAAATGTGGATATTTGAATCTCTGTATGTCCCTACATTCAGATAATATGGGAGTTTTTTAATGCTGGTTTATTCCTGGGTTATACATGTCTGTTCCTGATTGGCTGTATCCTAGATCGTGGCAAGAATTGACTAGAGGGTGAAAACTTTATCCTGGCAAGAGAAACTTCATCCACCACATGTTTAATCCTTCCTCATTCCTGGTGCCTCCTCCTTATAAGTCACACTGTCCTATCTCCCAATGATTTTAAAAATTTTCTATAATTTTATCCATGCATCTGGCCCTGCCTAGTGAAATTTCCTGTGTTTTTAATGCTTGATTTTATATTGTTGTGTTGTTTATTATTTTGATTTTGCATTTTATGTATTTTGCTCGTTTTATTGTGTTTGTGTTATTGCTTGTATTGTATTGATGGGCATGGCCTCATGTAAGCCACACCGAGTCCCCTTGGGGGAGATGGAGCGGGGTATAAATAAAGCTTTATTATTATTATTATTATTATTATTATTATTATTATTATTATTATTATTATTATTTAATTAAGTTTGTGACAACCAAAACAGGTGTGTACGTGGACCTCTTTTCAGGTTCCGAGATATTTTGCCCCTGACTAAAACCTGCAAACTGGGTGCTGTCTGGAAGCGCCCCTAGAGATTTATAAAGAGAACCTTTTTCTAGTAACATATCTACATTGTAGAATTAAAAACATCACTTTAACTGCCATGGATTCATGGGAGCTGTAGCTGTAAAAGGTCTTTAGCCTTTGCAGCTTTTTTTTTTGTGTCAAGAGCGACTTGAGAAACTGCAAGTCGCTTCTGGTGTGAGAGAATTGGCCATCTGCAAGGACGTTGCCCAGGGGATGCCCAGATGCTGGATGTTTCACCATCCTTGTGGGAGGCTTCTCTCATGTCCCCACATGGGGAGCTAGAGCTGACAGAGGGAGCTCATCCATGCTCTCCTTGGATTCAAACCTCTGACCTGTCGGTCAGCAGTCCTGCTGGCACAAGGGTTTAACCCATTGCACCATGGGGGGCTACAGCTCGTTTGCAGCTGATGCCTCACCAAAATGCAACTCTCACTAGTTCTATAGAACTGAGCCATAACAGCTAAGGTGGAGTGAAACTGCACTACTTCTGCAGTGTAGATACACCAGGTCCTGCAGGTACCCTATTATGGCTCCTTTTCGTGCTCAGAGAGTTTTGTCAGAAATCTCCTTTTAACAGTAGTGTATTAGTTTACCCCCTTTACATCCTGTTCACATAAGGTAAATGCAAACTCTTTGTTTTTGCTCCTCCCAAAGAAAAAGCTCTTTGATTGATTTGACTCTCTCCTCTTTTTCCATCTGGACTAATTGGTATAGCACTCTCAAAGCATTTGAATCGAAACTTATCATTTTTGAAAAGCCTGGTAGAGTAGGATTGATTATACACTGCACTGACAAAGGTTCGTTTCCTGTGTGTGGTGCCTCATTTTCTTCAGAAGGCTGAAGACATTTTGATGGGTTTTTTTAATAAAGGAGGAAGTGTGCCCTCTGCTGAATGAAATGATATTACAGCCATTCTTGTTTTGCAAACTTACTCTCAGTTAACCAGAATTTAACAGTATTCCAGAAATTAACAATATTCCAGATGTGGTCTAACCAAGGCAGAAATGAGGGGTAGCATGACTTCCCTGGATCTAGGCACGAGGGTCCTCTTGATGGAGGCCAAAATCCCATTGGGTTTTTTGGCCACTGCATCACATTGTTGGCTCATGTTTAACTTGTTGCCCATGAGGACCCCAAGATCTTTTTCACATGTACTGTTCTCGAGCCAGGAGTCCTCCATTCTGCATCTTTGCATTTCATTTTTCTGCCTAAGTGGAGTATCTTGCATTTCTCCCTGTTGAACTTCGTTTTGTTAG